TAAAAATTTTAAAAAGTGCCAAAGAAGCGAGGCACTGGTGGTACATGCCTATAATCCTAACTACTCAGGAGGCTGAGCTCTGAGGATCACATTTCAAAGCTAGCTAAGCAGGAAAGTCCATAAGACTCAATATTTCTCCAGTTAATCACCAAAAAGGGAAGCTGTGGCTTAAGTGGTTGAGTCAAAATGCTAAGGGATAGTGCTCAAGCCCAGAGTTCAAGCCTTAGTACCAGCACACACAAAAAAGTATGAAATAAAATAAAATAAAACAACAATGCCTACACTGGTCCCAATCACATCTAAAAATCTGGTGGAATAATTCACAGATTTCCTCTTTCCCTGGAAACCTCCCAACCAGTGACCTCCTTCCTTTCTTTCATATCAGGATGTGTTGATTTCAAGATTTCCCTTTCTAGCTCTATTGTTGGAACCCTGGCTTCCTTAATTTATGTCTTGATTTATTCCCTTGTTGTGGTAGACAATGGTCTATATGGAAGGATGCTTAGGTATTAAATCTTCTGAGTCTTTCCATGTTGAAAATGTCTTTATTTTGCCTTCCGTTAAGCTGCATTTCAATTCTCAGGAGACATAAATCTCCTGTTCATTTTTTTCCAAGTGAAGGTTGCTAGTTGACCCACTGCACTCATGTTAGTAGATGTGGGCTTTCACAGCTGACCTCTGTCACCTTTGCTCTTTCACAGATTCTGACGTTTAACTGGATGATTATCTCTATCTATAGGTTTTCCTAAAATGAATGGGAATAACGGGTTAGTATCATTCCCTGGTATTTTCAACCCTGTTCATCTTCTGTGTTTGATCTTTCACTCCTGTGTCTAGAGGAAATTGTTAAGATTCGGGAGCTATAATCTGCATGAAATGTTTTCCAGAGCCTTAAGTCTTTCCTTCAGTTTTTGTTTCATTTCAAAATAGTTTTGGAAGCCTAGTTCTGGTGGCTCACCCCTGCAATCCTAGCTACTCAGGAGGCTGTAATCTGAGGATCAATGTTTGAAGCCAGCTCAGACAGGAAAGAGTCTGTGAGACTTTTATCTCCAATTAACCACCAAAAAGCCACAAGTGAGTGTTGCTCATGTGGTAGAGTGCTAACCTTGACTATCAAAAACTCAGGGATAGCACCCAGGCCCTAAGTTCAATTCCCAGTACTGGCACACACATGTGCGTGCGTGCATATGTGTGAGTGCGCGCACACACACACACAATAACTATGGAGTCAAATTTACAGTTTACTTTTTCTTTTTAAGTCTCATAGAGTAGATCATACTGGTAATTCCAGCACTTGAGAGCCTGAGGCAGAAGATTCATGAGGTTGAGGCTAGTGTGGGCTGTATAGAAAGATCCTGTCTCAAAATAAAGCAATAGTAGCAATAATAGCAGTATTGTAAACCAAAAAGTTCATTTCCAGAGAAGCAAAACATCAACTAAAAAAATCCAAAGAGATGACTGAAAAACCTTAATTTGTTATCTATGAATTGTTACCTTCAAAGATTCATTTTAGGCACATAATTAATCAGACCTGCATTAACCAGACCCTGCATCCTCATAACCACATAACTCTGAGAGCTAAGGAGTAACATGTTGCAGGCTTCATTGAGCTTCATGTTTTTCTTTTTCTTTGTTTCGTTTGTACCTTTGTACGAATTTGTATCTAAGTGTTTTCAATCCTTAAGTAAATATCAAAGACCCAGATCTGTATTTGGATATGGGCATAATCAACATCACCTTCAGTTAAACATGCTGCATTTTTACAACAAATGGCAGAAATTGGCCTTGATGGTTTCCAGGAGGCCACATTTATAAATATGAAAACAGAAAAGAAAATCCTGCACCGAGGTAGCAGATGACTCATTACAGCTGCTGTAGTGAGAGGAAGACAATCCACAAGGCCAGTACATTTACAAAAGGTACAATAAATTATATAATGCCCCAAACTAGCCTTGATCATCTGAGGCAGGCCTTCTGCTCTATGCTGACAGCTTTTAAGTTGCTAACATCTTACGCCCTTCACCTGCAGTGGGTTTTGTGCAGACAAGCGAACCATTCTGGAGCAAAACTATCATTTAAAAATCTCCTATGTTGTGTGCATCAGAATAAAATAATTGCTTTCCTTTTCCATGTAAAGATGGGGTCAGAGAACATTGATAAAAGAAATCTATAAATAACTTTCTAGAAATGGCCTTTCTGACTCAGGAAACCTTTATAACAAGCACCTAGCCCATTCGACCAGTAAGTTAATTTGAAATTCACTCTGCTATATTTATTTTCTAACCTATCCATTAATGGATACAGGAAGATTGCATAGCAAAAAAGAGTAAGGTCTAGGAAGAGATGAGCTATAAATAAAATATACAGAGAAACTGAGGCATCAAAGCTTCCTTGATTTTTTGGCGGGGGGAGCGGTGATGGGTACCCAAAGCCCTTCTAGTAACAGGCCACTCCCCTTTCTCAACCTCTCCCCCTTGCCTTCCAAGAAGCTGTTCAAGCAAATTGTTTGTCTTCACCTGTTAGCAGTTGCCTGCCTCTTCCTCCCTCCCTCTCTTTCTCTCTTTCTTCCTCTCTCCCTATCTCTTTCTCTGTCTCACTCCGTCTCTTTATTTTGCTGGCTACCAGTTTTGAACTCAGGGATTAGCACTTGCTCAGCTTGCTGGAGTCATTTTCTTAGCCCTGCTTTTCCCTGGTTGTAGTTTCTTTGGAGATGGAATCTCATGGAATTTTCTGCCCATACTGGTTCCAAATCTCAATCATCTGGATTTCAGCTTATCTAGTAGCTAGAATTACAGACATGAGCCACCAGTGCCCAATTCTACCACTCTCTTTGTCCCAGGATGCCTGTAATGGCCTCAAAACTGTTGTCAAACCTTCTACAGGGCATGGACCTTATATGTTAGCTGTCCAGCTGTTTGCTACCCACAGAGACACATGTTTTTTTTAAAAAAAATTACGTTATTATAAAGATGCTGTACAGAGGGGTTACAGTTACATGAATAAGTTAATGAGTATATTTCTTGTTGAAGAGAGACACATTTTTAAAAACCGGTTCAGTTCAGATAGGGAGAAGGCTGAGAAGAGCCACAGCCAGCTGTGGGTTGTGTTTCCTGTGACAAGCATGAGGCCTGAGGACATTTGTCCACTGTCCTATTTACCCTTCCCAGTCACTGTCCCAGGTGAGCATTATTATTTCCTGGCTGTGCCTTGGAAATCACTCCAGGTTACTTCAAAACCCATGTTCCTTATATGGCATCAACTTGATCGGACCCACATTAGAGTGGAACAAAGTTAGAGTGGGTTAGTAGTTTCTGGCTTCTGACGGAAAGTCCTCTTGGTCTTCTACACACAACCCTCTTTGATTTCCAGTCTTACGCAACACAACATTACTGCTCAGAGGCTGCTACCAAGAAGGACAGGTCCTTTATTCTTGAGAAGGTCAGCTTCAGTTGACAGTCCCTCGGGAGTCCCAGCTAGGGCCAGAGCAAGAAAGAGATAGGGGCATTTTTCTTCCAACATGTATCAGTCATGTGACTCCACTCCTGACCCTCACCTGCCACCCTCGATTCTCCACAGATGATCCTTGGGCTTGTCAAGGCGACGAAGTGGGAGTGCTCAAAGATAGAATTCAACATGTCATTTTCATTGCAATGGCAACACTGGTCAGAAGCCCCCCACTTAGTGTGGATTCATCTACGTTCTCCAGTTGTTGAGTGTCACTGATGCACATTTGCATGGCAGTCCTAAGCTACAGGACCAAACCAATCTGTGTCCACCACAGGACTGCAGCTGAATGTGATGGATAGACAGGGCACCCCTCCTGGCCCCACTTTCTCCACTAGACCAGAAGCTTTTTGCCTGGGAGCAGAGTCCAAGTGGCAAGAAGGACATCTTTACAACTCTTCTACCCAGAATGCCACTTCACTGCATGATCTAGGTATCTTCTTAATTTTCGGAAGAGCTCACATGGCCTCCACAGCTTAATTACGAGCTAAGCAAATGACTTAGTTCTACTGTACCTTAGCATTTCCATATGTAAAATAGGAGTCGTAATAAATGCTCTCTTATAAAGGGGTGTGAACATTAAATGAGAACATTCATGTGAAGAGCTTAGCCTTGTTCCTGACTCTTGGAAAATGATCAAACTATTGTTTGATTGCCACCATTGTTGTTTTATTTGATCACAGAACCAGTCAAGGCAACCATATCCCCTTCCTTAGTCATAACCATGTGCAGCATCAGGTAGTAAGGTGAAGATTATAGATATGGTGGATCTCATTGGCTTAGGTAGTTTTCTTTGTCCAGCTAACAAGTGATTGATTCAGAATTATGAGAGAAGCCGGGTACTGGTAGCTAATGCCAGTAATCCTAGCTACTCAGGAAGCTGAGATCTGAGAATTATAATCAGAAGCCAGTCCTGGGAAAGAAAGTACTTATGACTCTTATCTCCAATTAACCACCAAAAAGCTAGAAATAGAGCTGTGGCTCAAGTGGTAAAATGTCAGCCTTGAGTGGAAAAACATGAGCCAGGGCCCAGGCCCTGTCACACATACAATGACACACATACAATGGCAGAAAAAAAATATTATTAACTTTACAACTTTGGCTGGGGGTAGGGAGGGTGGAGGTGGGAGGGGACTGTATGGGAGGGTGGGGAGGGGAGATGGGAAGGGATAGGAAGGGGAAACAAAGGGGGAGGCAACAATGCTTGATAAGAAATATACTCATTATTTGCCCAGGTAATTGTAACTCCTCTGTACGGTATTTTCACAATAAAAAAAAAGAAAAAGAAAAAAAGTATTATTGTGTGTATAAGATGATGGTAAGTGAAATGAACTCCAAGATATGGAAACAAGAGGTTTTTCTTTGCTGTTGTTGTTGCTGTTGTTTTACCAACCTGCTTTCACTTTATTCTCCTGTTTAGATATTCTCCTGCCCCCAAATTTGGATGGAGAACATGACTTGAGCCCAGCAGTCCAGCTCAGAGCTATATAACATACTTTGTTCCACTTTCCTCACCCCACCCCACCCAGAGTCAGCCCCTTGCCCAGAACAGACATGGGATTGAGATAGCGTGGTCCCCACCCCTGTCCTCTGTAAGAGCAGTCCTAGTAGAAATGACAGAGTTCCCATGATCATGAGAGCCTCTTTCCAAATCACAAGGGGCCACCCTCTCCACATGGCCACTGATATGTTCATATTTGAGTGGTCAAGAGTTGGAGGCGGCAGTACCTCCAACTGACTGAGGAGAAGAGGAACGTGAGGGCGTTGTTGGGGGTCCACAGTCATCATGGAGGTTAGCAGCTACTGCAGGGCTGAAGAATGCCTGCGACTTTGTGGGATGTTGAGTTGGTTCTGAAGAGCAAGAGCCACACTGCCACCCTTCTGGAACACCATGTCATAAGGGCCTTCCCCAAACATCATGGCAGAAAGCACACAACCTAGAGACCACACATCAGTCCGCTCATCAATGACACAGTAGCTCTGCACAGAGAAGAGTTCTGGGGCCCGGTAGGAGATGGTGCACCTCTGTGCTGCCCAGTTTTGCAGCGCTAGGGCCTGTCGGGAGCTCTCCACATGAATACATGCTTGATTCATAGAACCTAAGTCCATTAAAACTGGCTGCTCCTCATCTCCAAGCAAAATATTGGTGGGCATCAGGTCCCTGTGAACGTAACCTTTGGCATGAATGGCCTCCAAGCCTCTGCAGATACCCAAGGTACAGCCGAAGGATTTGATCCTCAGTCAGGAAATTGCCTTGGTCCTTCAGCCTTTCTATTTCATTCCACAGTGTACCTCTCTTGAAGAAAGGTAGCAGCAGCCAGGCCTCATACTTAGCACCCTGCTCTCTCAGAGAGTAAGCCATGAGGTGAAGGATGTTGGGGCCATGCACGTTTGCTTCTCTCTGGGCCTCTTCCCAGTCCTGCCCTTCTCCAGTTTCTGGATGAAGAGGTAACGCTTATTGTCAATGATGACAGTTCCCCATGAGCAGATACACAGTGAGTGGCCCATCATGTCTCAATCATTCTCCTCAAGGATGGTCTCTGATCCCTGGTGAGCAAGCTTTTTTAGGCGATGCACTGAATGCCCAGTGGATCATGCTGGCTCGGGCTGGAACCTGTTGTTGTTGATTTTAATGTACTATGTGATTTCTTTTTTTCTTTTTCCCTATGGTTTATCCCATGTTGTCACTGTATTTGATTTTGGGACCCTGAGTATTGTAGATACGTTTATCTGAATTAGGGAAGGGAAGGGAAACAACAAAATGGCGAGACAAAGGACAAAAGGAGAACCAATGCAATAGCGATACTCACAAGACAATACATTGGAAATGAACTATACAATTTGGGAGAGGGGTTGCAGGGAGGGAAAGTAGGAGAAAAATGAAGGAGGAATGTACTTACTACCTTACATATTTAACTGTAACCCCTCTATACATCACCTTGATAATACAATTAAATTTTAAAACTATTATTATTATTGTTATTATCCCTTTTCACTTATGGCTAGCCTTCTACCATTTGAGCCACAGCTCCACTTCCATCATTTTTTTCCCAGCATTTTTATGATTAATTAGTTAAGAGTCTAATAGACTTTCCTGCCTGGACTGTGATCCTCAGATCTCAGTCTCTTGAGTAGCTAGGATTACAGGTGTGAGACACCAACACTCAAATGTACAATGCATCTTGATCAATGTTACTTTTCTTTTGTTCTTCCACTTTAAAAAACAAAGATTTTGTGTGGAAATATCTAATATACTCACATTTGCAGGTTGGAGTAGATTCTCAGCTTCTGAAATTTCCCAGACTACTTGTTTAATACTCATTTTATAAGGTTTGCTGGTATGTCTTAAAAATCACTACTAACAATAACACAGATATTGAACAAAGCGTATATATGTATTTGTGTAGTGTATACACGTATAAATTTATATAGACATGCACTTAAAAATCAACATGCACTTGCGCCAAAGAGGAATACAAATGGCTCCAATAGAATAAAGTGATTGTAAACTAAATATTTTCTTGTGTGCTTCAGACAAATGTTTCCTGCTTATTGCTATTCTAGGGCTGGCTACTTTTATGTTTTATAGTGCACTGCCATGGATTCCTGTGCAGCATAATAATCTCTATCCGTATTAAATTACTCTGATTGCTACCTGCAAGGCTCTGTGATTTCAAATTGTTTGAATTCATGGTGCCATTCAGGTAATGTTCAAAAATGCAAATATTCACAGTGGGAATGTCCACCAAAGTCATTTTCCCACATCATAGTGAGGGGAAAAAAATAGAAGTCAAAATGGGATAGCAACAAATTGGCATAAAAACTCCAGCACCATAGGTGTGGGCAACTGGAAGTTAAGGTGGGAAGAGATGTCAGTGTCTTGAGAGAGTTATTACAAATTAATAACATAACCTTGAGAGCTTCAAACACAGGCTTTCCTATAAAATCAAGCCAATAGAGGACTTTCTGCTAGATGTTCAGATTCTACTTGGCACGTTTTTAGAATACTCCCTAATGTGTATGATTAGAGTGTCTACCTTTTGACACACTTTGAGCCAGGCTATTTTTAAGCTTCTGCACAGAATTCCGCTTCTTCAAGCTGTAAAGCTCCTGAATTCTGAGTGTCAAAGACAAGCTTCCAGCTGTTTAAATCATAGGCAGCGTTGGTCCAATTACTAGAGGAAAGGGAGCCTATAGGAGTTAGTGTAGTTAAAAGGGCAGAGGAGGAACACAGAGAGGATTGATGGCAAAGACAGGATACTTGATGTCTGTCTGTATAAGACAAGGCATGTAGAGGGTGACCTCCCCCACCCCCGCCTCCTGCCTCAGAATTGAAGGGACTCATTGTAGATGTGTGAAAGAGACTTATAAAGAGGCCAGTCTGTCTTCAGTACTCTAGGAATAAAATAGTACAGGGTTTCTCAAGTATGGTGCTATTAACAATGCTGGCCAGACAAATCTTTATTTTCCTGTGTATTGGAGGATGTTTAATATCCTTGACCTCTACCAACTAGATGTTAGCTGTACTCTGCCTGTGATCAGTGAGAATGTGTCTAGTCATTGCCATATGTCTTATGGGATGAGGACAGGGGTAGGATTGATCTGGCCAGAAAACCATCAACAGAAAATAGTTTGCATTAAGCACTTTTTCATACAACAGTTTTTCTGAACCACTTACTCCCAAACAATTTTCTTCTGGCCTTAAAATGGAAAGTGACAAAGCTCTAAAATTGCCTGTCCTCTTATATTTGTTAGATCTTCACAGCCTTTGAATTATTTTTATATGACAATAATGGCTGCATTTGAAGATAAGTACCCCGTTGTGTTTGTTTGGGGGTGTGGTAGTGCATTTGAACTCAGGGCCTTTCACTTGTAATGTGACCATTCTACCATTTATACCAGGCCCTAGCCCTTTTTACTTTTGTTAGTTTTCAAATAAGTTCTCACTTTTTGCCTAGGCTAGCCTGTACTGCCATTCTCTTATTTATATTTCCCACGTCACTAGGGTGATACATAGTTTGTACTACCAAGCCCATCTTTTTGTTGGTTGTCATGGAATTGAGATTGGCTGGTCTCATGACACAATCCATGTAGTTAGGATTACCATCATGAGTATTAGACCTGTTTAAGTTCTCCATATTATAGAGACTATGCCGAGATAAGTAAGATAGATCTTACTGATTCTGTTTTTGGAAATTTTCAAGAGAATTCTCCATCCTCATCCCTTCAAGATTTTGCATAGTGGATTGGATCCCAAAGTCAGTGTGGTTTAGCTGTTCTCCTCCATGCATGCATTCCTCATGGGAAATAGAAATGACTAGGTTTGAATGTTCTGATGTCCTGTGCACTGATTTCCATCACGGCTTTTCTGTTTTTTTGTTTTTTTTTTTTTCGTATTGGTCCTGGGGCTTTAACTCTGGTTTGGGCTCTGTTCTTTAGTGCTCTCCCTCTCCCTCTCCCACCTCCCCTCTCTTCCCCCTGTCTCTGTCTCTGTCTCTGTCTCTATCTCTGTCTCTGTCTCCGTCTCTCTCTCTCTCAGATAGCACTCTACTACCTGAACTATCTGGATTTTTTGGTGGTTAGAGATAAGAGTCTCATGGACTTTCCTGTCCAGACAAGTTTTGAGCCACAATCTTCAGATCTCAGGTTTTCTTTACCTAGGTTTAGAGAGCTGAGCCTCTGGTGCCTGGCCCTGCTTGTTTTATTTTTAAGAAAGGGTCTTGCTACATATACCAGGCTGATCTGGAGCTCTAAATCCTTCTACCTTAGTCTGCTAGGACCACAGGTGTGTGCCATCATAGCAGCATAATTCATTTTTTATTATATTTTATTTTGTTGTAAAGGTGCTGTACAGAGGGGTTTCAGTTGCATAAGTAAGGTACTAAGTACATAATTCATTTTTAATTTCATAGATTCTCTTGTGTTTCAAACAATCTTACTTAATTTTGTTCATTATTGTTTTTTTCTGCTCTGATAAAAATAGGGACTTTCACCAGAAACCATTCTAAAGCTTTTTACACAAGCCATTCATACTGGGGGAAACGTTACATTGTTAGGTTGTAAAGCAAGGTAAAAAATAATGCAAACATCCACTTGGAAATAAAAGCCCTCCCTGTGCCTGTGGAATTTTTAGGGACAAGATGTTATTCCAAGTTTCATTCGAACAACATTTTCATGTAAATCGCCCAGGGATTCCAGGTCTTCAGGTCTTGGGTATGTAAGTTATAGAATGATGCTCACATTTTCTTGCTGGATCAAATCTTCAGATGATCAACTTCAAAGGAAATACCTTAATAATACCTTTATTTCCTTTGGTTTCAGCAGGGAAAATTGTCTGTGTGCTTGGACCAAACAGGCCCCAGTAAAACAACAAAAGATGTAGGTGTCAGATGGAGATTAAAAATATATATATATATGGCCTTGCTGGATGATGGTGGCGCACATCTATAATCCTAGGTACTCAGGAGGCTGAGATCTGAGGATCAGAGTTCAAAGCCAGCCTGGGCAGGAAAGTCCGTGAGACTCTTATCTCCGAAAACTAGAAGTGGCTCAAGTGGTAGAGTGTAAGCCTAGAGCTGAAGAATTCAGGGACCACACCCAGGCCCAGAGTTCAAGTCCCTCAACTGACAAAAAATAATTAACTACCAGAAAACCAGAAGTGGCACTGTGGTTCAAGTGGTAGAGTGCTCATCTGGAGCTGAAGAGTTCAGGGACAGCAACCAGGCCCAGAGTTCAAGCCCCACAACTGACAATACATACACGCACGCGCGCACACACACACACACACACACACACACACACAGAGCCAGAATAGCTCTTTCCCTGAGCCTCTCTGTGCTTACAATGATTCTATGCTAGTTAAAATTATTCTATGAAAATAACTTTATAGCTCCACTGTATAGATAACATAAATATGGAAAGATGTCTTGAAGTTTCAATGAGGTTGTTCCTCAAACTGTGGGTGGAGAAAGTACATGGGCTTTCATTAAGGACCTGTATCTTAAAAGATGAAGGTTTTAAAGTATATCATCACTTTTTATCATTCAAATTCCAAAGGTCGATATGAGCTGTTCTCAAGGAGTAAGGAAATGCAACTCCTGAAAACAGACACCATGTGCTTAGAAATTCTGATTCAAAGCATTACATATTCAGAACCATCCCCGCTTTTTGCCAATACTGGGACTTGAACTCAGGAATTGGGTGCTGTCTTTAGCTTTTTTTTGCTCAAGGCTGACATGCTCTACCACCTGAGCCATAGCTTCACTTCATGTTTGTGTGTGTGTGTGTGATTAATTGGAGATAAAAGCCTAACAGACTCTCTTCATTGGGCTGGGTTTGAACTATATTCCTCAGATCTCAACCTCCTGAATAGCTAAGATGACAGGGTGAGCTTCTAGCACCTGGCACTCAGATCTTATTTTTAAGATGCTTAAGATTTTCCCTCCCTATAGCCAGTTGGCGAATGCAAGAAGAATCAATAGATTTTAAGGTTGTTTTGTTTATTTTGTCTTGCTTTTGTTTTTTATTGGTACTGAGATTTGAACTAGCAGATGTTCTACCAGTTGAGAGCCATTCCAAGTACTTTGGTTTCTTTTAGTGCTTTTGTCCTTGGCTGCTAGCCTTGGACTAAGCTATGATCTTCCTACCTCCCAAGTAGTTGGAATTATAGGCATATAATTCCATACTCAACTTATTTTATTGGGATGGGGGTCACTCTAACTTTTTCCCAGGCTGTCATTGAACCACACTTCTCTTGTTCTCTGCCCAAGAAGGATTAATTTTTTTAACCAAGTAAATTTCTCACTAAGATATACTACATAATATTTTCAGGACCATGTAGAATGACTATGTTAAAAATGAAAAAAGTCATTAAAGCAAAGGAAGTGTCATTTTAAGCACAAGAAAGACATTTTCCCTTTTATCTTTCTAGTCCTTCTGCTCTCTGACCCAGTGAGTTCTTTTAGCTGTTAACAGATGACCAGGGAGCTAATTTCCATGGTTCATTTTTTTATTGATAAGGACACATACAACTTTTTGTTCCCCAGTCCTGGGGCTTGAACTCAAGGCCTGGCTCTTTCCCTGAACCTCTCTGTATTCAAGGCTTAAACTCTACAACTTGAGCCACAGGGCCACTTCCTATCGGAGATAAAAGTCTCTTTGGCTTTCCTGTCCAGGCTAGCTTCAAATCATGATCGTAAGAGCATAGCCTCTTGAGTAGTTAGGATTACAGGCATGAGCCACTGGCACCCAGCTTACATACAGCTTTTGAATGTTTTTATAAACCAGCTAAAAGCTTATAACCCAAATTGTATTTGATTCAATTTAATACTTTATTAAATGTGTATTATGAATTGTAAGAACACCATTGTTTGTGTACTATTAAGGATAAAGCTGGGCTGTCCATGAACTAAGGTATATCCTCCATTGTAAAATGAGCTCTAAATTCAGAGGCATCAAAACATGAGCCAGTGTTACAGGTGTTAGAAATGATGGGGTTATGGGTCCCAGTATAGAGGTCTTACAATGCTGGGGACCAGCTACCATCACTTCCTTCCCTCTAGATATCTCAGGAGCTCTTTCGTTCATGGACTTAAGACACAGAAAATTAAAGAAACAGGTTAAGATCACTTACTGCATTGAGAGAGGAGGGATTTGAACCCAGGATCTCTGGCACTGTACCTCTATTTCCCTCACAAGTAGACTGCTTTGTCACTTCAACAGAGTCTGGACTGGGAAAGAGATGATCAGTAAGGAA